AAAGGGTCGTTCGGCCGCCAAAGGGGTCGAGACCCACAGGTTGAGAACCGCTGCCCTGGGGCCTGGCGGGGTTTGAGTGAGTCGCCCTCTCTCTCCTGGTGCTTATGATGAACTCCATAGAGAAACCGAATCTCAGAGCCCCCGGCCGCTCGCGGGAGGACAGAGCGCTCGACTGGGAGCTCGAGTTCCTAAGCTCATCTGTCCTCCCAGGAGACCCTGGCGTCTCCAATAAAGTAAAAGTCACTGCCTGAGCCAAGCCAGCGAGCAGGCCGCTCAGGGACCGGGGAGGAGGGGCGGCTCTGGGCCCAGGAACCCCAGGGAAGGGGCGGGAGGCCTGGCTGCGGTGGCGGCAGCAGCTGCGGCAGGTTAATCGGTACCCGGGCTGGCTCCACAGCTCCTGGGAGAGGAAGAGGTCAAGGCCCTGGCCCTCAGCTCACAGGGGTGTTTGGGGCCCACGCTGCCAAAGGGACTGTTTGGGTTCGGACGTTTTCAACGTGTTTGTGTCCAGAGAGAAGCAAGGCGAGGCGCCCGCACCTGGGCGGGAAGTTGCGCCACCTCCTTCGGCCCCGGCCCGGCCCGGGGGAGTCAGCAGCCGCGTGACCAGGACATCTGGCGCCACGAGGCCCTAAAAGGGAACGCGAGGCTCCCTCCGTGAATGACTCAGAGCACAGAGGGCAGCATCCAGGGGACCCCGCGCTCAGCTGGCCACGGCCCAGGGCCCGCCCCAGGACTCAGGGCTGGAGGCAGAGTTGGGCTTAGAACCCTCGACGGCTCTCGAATCCCCTGCTGCCCAGTCAGACCAGGGTCCACAGTTCCCACTCCCTCCTGGCCTCGGGGTTCGTGTCCCGGGGCTGAAACCCCCGCTGTTCCGCTCGGAAAGCGTGTGTGTGTCGCTGCTGTCGACCCGCTGCTCCGAACCGCGGGACCCACACCCCCAGGAGAGCTGGCACCCGCCTCCAGCGCGGGGGTGTCCAGAGGAAGTGAAAGCCGGACGCCAGGCCAGCCCGACACCCCGACCGGCTGGCCATCGCCCAGCCCGCAGCTCGCTCTACCTTGCACCCCAACAGGCTGGTTTCCCCGGAGCCAGAGCTCACCAGCCCCCGGCGGACAGCGGACGGACGGGCCTCTTACCAGCACCGGCTACGCTGTGTCCCCGCAGGGTCTGGGGGGCATTAGCTAGAAAGACTCAGGCCTGGCCATGGACGTTGCACTTAGAAAGCAGAGAGGATCTCTCTCTCTCTCTCTCTGTCTCTGTCTCTGTCTCTCTCTCTCTCTCTCTCAGTTGGCCGCGGACCCAGCCCTAGGAGAGGAAGGGAAGGGCAGACAAAAGGCAGGAAAGACATTCCTGGCAACTCGGAGCAGCGCCGTGTCTGCTCTCTAACAGCGAAGAAGGACCTGCCCGTCGATACACATTTTGAACAAGAGTCAAGGCTGAGCCTCCAAACCAACCTGGAGAGAGGACATAGTGGGAAGAAATGGCGCTCAGGGCGCGAGCGGCCTCTTGCTGGCTCAGTCACCCCCTCGCGCTCTGAAATGCTTCTCCCACCCGCGGGCACCAGCTTTCTGTCCCGTGATCGGTGTGTGTGTGTGTGGGGAGGGACGGGGGGTGGGAGGGGGCTGCCTGCTCTGCCCGGCCAGCTGGCTGCCCCCTGTAGGTCGTGGACACAGGATCCGGCTCAGCGTGATGTCCCCAGGCACCATCTGTCGGTCCTTCCGTGTCTTCCCTTTGCTGCCACCCAGGGGACCTACGGTTTTCTCTCCCTCGAACCATACGATTGGACTCGGAGCCTTTTGTTTCGGGGGGGCCGATGGGAAGAGCACCTGAGGAAATGGGGTGGGGGCCACCAGCTTCCCGGGGACGTGACTCCAGGCCGAGACCTGGTGGAGTCCGTGTGTGTTTCTCCGACCGGCACAGCTGGTTGGGATGGAAACGTGTGCACCCGGCAGTGACAGCACAGGGACCCCGGCTCACACGGCCGCTGGGACGGATGGCCGAGGCGTTCTGAGTGAGAAGCCAGTCTCCAAAGGGTTCAACAAGCTTCCACTGACAGGACATTCCTGAGGACGGGGGACAGGTTGGCGGTTGCTAGGGGTAACGAGTGGGGAAAGGGACCGGGTCGCCAGAGGGAGTTTCCGGGGAGACCATGGGACTGTTGTTGTACCCTGATGGTGGCGACAGTTACAGGAATCTATACGTGTGTAATTCAAAAACCTGTACATCGCAAAGGGCCAATTTTACGGTAGTGATAAGTTTTCAAATAAAACCCTAAAAAGTTCCCCGGCCGGCGTGGCTCAGTCGGTGAGCATTGACTTATGAACCAGGAGGTCACGGTTCGAATCCCGGTCAGGGCACACGCCCGGGTTGCGGGCTCGATCCCCAGTGTGGGGCGTGCAGGAGGCAGCCGATCCATGTTTCTCTCTCATCATGGATGTTTCTAGCTCTCTCTCCCTCTCCCTTCTTCTCTGAAATCAATACAAATATATTAAAAAAACACCCCAAACTAAAAAGTTAATGATGGCGCTAATGGCTGACACGTGCTGCCTGTGAGCAAAGCTCTGTGCCAACAGCCACACCTCCACTGTCTCACGTATTCCTCGCCCAAAGCCCACTTGGCATCCAGGCTGTGCAACGGGCTCAGGTCGCAGAGCCGGTGGCAGAGCTGACACCTGACCCCGTGTCTGCCTGACTCAAGTGCTTGTGACCTGACCCAGGGCCGTGGTGCCTCACGTGGGGCAGGAGCGGGGCGGGGGTCACAGCCTGAGCCCCCGGCTCGGAGGGACGGCCGTGAAAACCGGGGTCTCTTCTAACGAAGGGGCGCTCCCGGGGGTGGGGGAGAGCTAGCCCTGGTGGCAGGCGGGCCCCCCGGGCTCACGGACATCCATCTGCTTGACATGACTCTTGGAGGCCCAGCCCCGTCTCTCTGGTCCTCCCCCAGCGCCGGGGCGGGCGCTGAGGGAGCCACTGCCCGCTGGGAGCCACGGGCTGAGGCAAACCCGGCCGGACCGTGTGACAGGCAGGAGTGCGGCCACCGGCGCTGCAGAACGGACACCGACACGGAGAACCGAGCGGAGAGCATTGGGCGTTTGGTTACGATGGCGCCACCGGGAGAACCGGAAGCTAATGCTGGAAAGCCCCCGCTCCCCGATGGCGTGTAGGTTATAAAGGCAAAACCACAATCCGCGAGGGTTAGGGACGCGGGCCCTGCGGGGAGCTGTCAGAGGGGAGCCCAGGCGAGGAGCAGTCCCCGGACCTGAGCACAGTCCTGGGGCGGCTCCAGCGGCCTCGGTCGGGTTCATGGACAAGTAGCAGGGGTTGCTCCACCGCAGGCTCAGGGGCTGAAACGCACCTTAGTCTAGATCAGCGGTTCTCAACCTTCTGGCCCTTTCAATACAGTTCCTCATGTGGTGACCCAACCATAAAATTATTTTCGTTGCTGCTTCATCACTGTCATGTCACTACTGTGATGAATCGTCATGTAAATATCTGATATGCAGGATGGTCTTAGGCGACCCCTGTGAAAGGGTTGTTCGACCGCCAAAGGGGTCGGGACCCACAGGTTGAGAACCGCAGGTCTAGATGTTCTCTTCAGCCTGAGGAGGCCCTGACCGTGGGCCACCAGCAGGCCCAGGCTGCTGTCCTCTGCAGCCTCGAAGGTTGCGGACTATCGGGGGAAAGGCTGGGGCTCTTAGGAATCTATCTATCTATCATCTATCTATCTATCTATCTATCCATCTCTCTATCATCTATCTATCTATCTATCCATCTATCTATCTATCTATCCATCTCTCTATCATCTATCTATCTATCATCTATCTATCTATCTATCTATCTATCCATCTATCATCTATCTATCTATCTATCTAATTATCTATCTATCATCTATCTATCTATCTATCTATCTAATTATCTATCTATCATCTATCTTGAGAGAGAGAGAAAGAGAGAGAGAGGGAGAATGTGAGAGAGAAAGAGAAAGAGCAGGAGAGAGAGGGGGAGAGAGAGGTGTGATGTTTACAGCTAGGACCCAAAACTAAATTTAGCCCCACCAGCATGGCTCAGTGGTTGAGCATCGACCTATGAACCAGGGCTCACGGTTTGATTCCCAGCCAAGGGCACATGCCCAGGTTGTGGGCTCGATCCCCAGTGTGGGGCGTGCAGGAGGCAGCCAATCAGTGATTCTCTCTCATCATTGATGTTTCTATCTCTCCCTCTCCCTTCATCTCTGAAATCAATAAAAATATATTTCAAAAACACACCGCTACAGTGAATGAAGGTCGTAAGGCCCCTTGGTCTCACCGGCAGGAGCCTTCTGTCCCGGGGCCAGGGGTGGGAAAATGGGGATTTTTAGACAAAGGGACATTTTTCACTTTTTTCTTAGTTGCATGTCCCATAAGTCCGCGTTTTTTCTTATTTCGTTGAAGACTGTTTGGTCGGTGGGACCAGGCAGCGGCTGAGGGGCCTGGGAGGCTGCCTGGATCCTGGTGCTGCTCCCAGGCTCAGGGACACTCTGCCCCGGGAACCGGAACGGGCTGTCCCAGGGCCCGGCTCGGGCCTCTTCTCAGACACAGAGCAGTCCTGGTGGCCAGGCCCACGCCCTGTCGGCAAGGCGCACGTGCTGGGCGCTGCCCTTGGGAATGGAATGTGTGTGTGTGTGTTGGGGGGGGGGGCCCGCAGGGCTCAAGGTCACAGGGTGCAGAGGGGGGTGGGAGGGAGCGGGAAGGGTCCGAGTGCCCAGGCCCTGCTGCTGCGCTGGGCTGGCTGCGGGGTGGGGCGAGGGTCCGGGAGGCCCCCCTGGAAGAGCCGTGCTTGGGTTTCTCGGGAGCTCCCTGGAGGGAGGCCCAGCTGCTGGAACAACAACCCCGACAGGAGCCGGGGCGGCTGCGTTTGGCGTCGGGCGATGTTTACCTCCCGATCGCACCCAGGTCTCCCACACGTCTCGGGAGTTTGCTGTGGGTGTGACAGCCCAAACAGGAGCGGCGGGACTGAGCAGCCCCCAGGGCACGCCAGCGGGCGTGACAGGCCGTTCCCTCCGCCCGGTGACCTCTGTCCGACTTGGGGCTGGCGAGCAGCCGCCGGGGGTGGAATCCGTGCTGTGCAGGGCACACGGGCTGTGGTCACGGGAGGCGTCGCCCCGGGGAGAGGCGGCGGCGGGCGCAGGGAGGGGGGCGAGTAGGCTGAGTACAGAGGGTTTGGGCGCCGAAATGACTGTGTGAAGCCGTCGTGGTGAACACATGTCATTACACACCCGGGCAAACCTGCACTTAGAATGCACGGCCCGGGAGGGAGCCCCGCGGTCAACGATGAGCTTGGGGTGTCATGACGTGTCCGTGCAGGCTCATCCTTGGTCAACTACCCTCCTGGTGAGCGAGGATGAGAACGGGGGAGGCTGTGCGAGTGGGGCGGGCGCCCAGGGGGCGTTCGGGAACTCTCTGTACTCCCTCTCTATTTTGTTGTAAACCTGGAACTGCTCTAAACAAATAAAACCTTAGAACAGTGAAAAGAGGCTGGCCCGCCGGTCTTGCCTCTGGTCCGGCCGTGGTTCCGGGGCCGGGCCCAGTGTCTGGTGAGGAAGGTGCCGCGAAGACCCAACAAAGGCCGCCTGTGTCCGGGTCGCCCAGCCGTACGCTCACCTGCGCGCCTGCCAGGAGCATGTGGGTCCCTCCCCCGGGGCCGAGCTGGCCCCACTACCTCTGCTCTCCCACAGGTCTCAGCGCCCCGTGTCGCCCAGCGGCCCTTACAGCGCGCCCCTCTCCCCACCGCCCACCGCGGGGGGAGTCGAAGTGAGAAGTCAGCGCCTGTTACAGTTAGAATCACAACTCCCCTGTGCCATCTGGAAGTTTCCACCCTCCCCGGCAGGGTCTGCTGATCCGGGAAGCCGGGCACTCACTCCGTGAGCTAAGCCTGGGGAAGTGAGTCAGCCCTTGCCACACGCGGGTTTCAAAACAGGAGGGACAAGCAGACCCCACAGGCCGGGCGGCGCCCCGACGGCTCCGCTGTGCCCTCAGGAGAGCGGAGGTCAGCAGGGCTCCTGCTCTCAGCAGACACGCAGGATGTGGCCGTGTTTGTTGTGACCACACCCCTGTGAGCCACTCCAGAGAAGGTGGGGGTGGGGGGACACAGCAGGACTGGCAGAAAAGTGACCCTTGGGGGGAATATTCTCTGAGCCTCCCAATCAAGATGTGTAGTTTGATCGTTTTAATATTTCTTGGTGAAAAAATAAAGTCAAGCTGAGAGGTATAATTTAAAAGGATCCCCAAAGACCAGGGATTCTGGGTGATCCTGAGCATTTAAAAAGGGGTTTCCCTGCCCAGCCCGTGTGGCTCAGTGGATGAGGTGGATCTATGAACCAGGAGGTCAGGGTTCGATTCCGGTCCAGGGCACATGCCTGGGTTGCAGGCTCGATCCCCTGTGGGGGCCGTGCAGGAGGCAGCCGATCCATGATTCTCTCTCATCATGGATGTTTCTCTCTCTCTCTCCCTCTCCCTTCCTCTCTGACATCAATTAAAATATATTTTGCAAAAGGGGGGTCTCCCAGACAGAGCACCCTAACCGAGCGCTGTTTATCCGGAGAACGTAGGCCTAGGCCTGGAGCCGGAGGGGAAGCCTTCACCGCGGGGTTGACCGGCTGGGAGGTGGCTGACGGAGCCCTGAGGGGGACGCCTCCGGGCCAGAGTCCCCCGAGGAGACGGGCACCTGTCTGCCCCTCACGGCCGCTCACAGCCGGCCCTGCGCCCTGACTGTCTGACCGTCATTGTCCACCTTTGCACCCAAGGAGACGGGGGAGGAGAGGGGTGGGGGTCAGCCCGGGCCCTCGTCTCCGTGGAAAGGACCGCGCAGCACGTCCCCGGCCGGAGAGGACAGGGGCCTGCGTGTGAGGAGTCCCAGTCCCCTCCCACCCAGTCCTGCCCTTTCCCAGTTTGCAAAGAGCCGCCACTTCTGTCGCAACGGTGCCCCGGCGACCCCTTCGGCTGCGGAAGGAACCCCCGTGGCACCTCGCTACCAGGTAGCGACACCGTGAGCTGGGTCACGCCGCTCTCCTCCAACGCCTGCCGTGGCTCCCCATTGCCGGCAGGGTGTCAGCGCGAGTACCCCTCTCATTACACGCGCCCCCATTCCCTTCCCAGCCTCGGCCCTCCGCCTCCCTGCACTGGGTAAGACTCCACGCGCTGCCCCCGCCCGCCCCCGCCAACGCAATGCCTTTGCTCTTGGCTCCCCTCCGGCTACGTCCACTCCCCAAATGCTTCCTCCTGTGGACACCGGCCCTGCCTGCTCCTTGCGGCCAGACTCAGCCCCAGGCAGGTCAGCACCATGAAATAACCGGATTTAGTACCTGCGTGTGTCCGGGAACCCCGCGCACGGGGGAGAGACCCCACATGCAGAGGGGGAGACAGAGAGGAAGCAGGGCTTTATGAAGACGCTCTGAGCGAGGGACGCGCTAGGTGGTCTGGGGGCTCCATAGGGCCCGTGCGGGATGATAAGACAGATGTTTGCTAACTGGGTCCAAGGAGGCCAGCTCTTGTGATGGGCACGGACTCCAATTCCAGCTCTTCTTGGGAGTTAAGGGGGGGCGGAGGGATCACAGCTAAAGTTGCCTTCAGCTCAGGAGAGTGGTGGGAGCCGGGGCTCTCAAACTCAGTGGGACTCGGACTGTGAAATCCTTCCTGCGCCAAGTCCAGAGCCGCCCGCACAGGCCGGCCCCAGGCAGACGGCTCTGGGGGGCCCTGCCCAGTAGCGCTGGTGTCGCCGGGAGGACATTTTCCATCAGGGGGTTGATCTCCTGCTTTCAGGGAGAGAGAGGAGCGGCCAGAGCACCCCTCACACCGGCTGTTGTTTTTTTTAAAAAAATATATTTTATTGATTTTTTACAGAGAGGAAGGGAGAGAGATAGAGAGTTAGAAACACCGATCAGCTGCCTCCTGCACACTCCTACTAGGGATGTGCCCGCAACCCAGGTACATGCCCTTGACCGGAATCGAACCTGGGACCCTTCAGTCCGCAGGCCGACGCTCTATCCACTGAGCCAAACTGGTCAGGGCTTGTTTTTTAAGCGTCTTAAGCTCAAAGGAACCCTGACGCCGAGGGCACATTTGGGAGTGGCGGGTCCTGGCACCGTTCCGCAGCGATTTCTAACACATTGTACAGAGCACGGACTGTGACACGTTGGCAACGATGCGAAAGCGTCTGGTCCTCCGCCCGGGGACGTTGGGAAGTGCCGCGCCCAGCTGCGAGGCGCTGGGCAGGGAGGCCGGGCCTCGGGGTGGTGCGGGGCCAGGCCCCTCCGGGCCTTGGGAGAACCAAGAGCCGGTCCCTCCAGCTGAGAACTGTGTCCCCCGGAGAGGCAGTACTGGGGTGCTGGCCCTTGGGAGAGAGGACTGGGAATGTAAATAGAGGCACAGCCAGTGTTGGACAGAGAAGCAGCCACGGCGCCCGAGGGGCCGTTATAAAGAGCAAAGGCGGGCAGGTGGCCGCGGGCAGTCACGGAGCAACCGGGCGCTCCTGTTCCGTTCCCAAGCCCGATAGGATGAGCACAAGTGGGGGGGGGGGGGGAGGAAGCCCTGGCCCTCCCCACCACGCACCTCCCCCCCTGCCCCAGCCCAGCCGACGCCCTCCCCTCCGGGCAGGGCCGGGATTGCATTCAAATGGGATTGAAGTTCTTCCCTTTACACGTCTCATTGAGGATGCGGGTCTCAGTTCACAACGCCCTGTGCTGTGCCGGGGGCTCTGCTGCCTCAGGCTCCCCTCTTTGTATTTAGGCAGGAGGTGGCCGACACCCCAAATCCGACGGAGCCCCTGTGAATGAACCCGGCGTGGCCAGCTCTGCACACCTGCCTCCGTAGGGGAGGAGAGGAGGCGAGTCCCCAGGAGCTCTGCACCCCCCGGGCGGGCGGGAGGACGCAGCCCTGAGCGCCCGGGACAGCGCCGTTGGGTGCGGACCTGGTGCCACAGGGGCCCGAGCAGCACCTGCTCTGCCTTCAGGTGAAGGAGGGACCCACCTGGGCGCAGGGAGGCTCCTGTGCAGGCCAGGCTGGGGAGGGGCCGGGGGAGGGGCTGGGGGAGGGCTTTGGGGGGAGGGTAAGTGAGTTGCTTGTTCTGCTTTCTGGCTGGAAGGCGGGGAAAGAACATAACCGCGTAGCCGGGCTGGGCCGGAATGACCAAGGGCTTCTTGGGCAATGGCTGTGCGGGGAGTGACTCAGGTCCCTATCTCAGCGCTATTGACACCCCGAAGGGTTATAAACCGAGGCAAAGAGCACTAGGTGTTGCCCATAATTGCGGTAAATCACGATAAGGAACCGTGAGGATAAGCCAACCAGGTGATAAGGCTGTGGCCGCAGCGGTGACAGCTCGGTGACAGCGCACAGAGGAGAAGCAGGGCCTCTGCTCAGCCAAGGAGAACAGTGTCACCCGGACCCACAGGGAGACGCAGCTCCTGCCGCATGTGGGAGGGGCGGGGGGAGGGGCCGCCCTGCCTGCCTGGTCCCCGCACCTGCCGCTCCCGGGTGCCCCCAGCAGAGAAAGGAGTGGGCGGCTGAGGCAGAGCTGGCTCCTGTGCCCCCAGCAGAGACCCTGAGCGGGGCCTGGGCAGCGGCCTGCACGGCGGGCCCGAGCCTGTAACATCACCGGGTTTCTTTCTGGAACACTCTCTTGCCTCCCTCTGTTCAGACGCTCAAACTCTTGTTGTGGGGACAAGGCTAGGAGGTTCTTTTTCATCTACAGAAACCCCCATGGGGCCAGACCTGCACATCACCAGGTGCCCCCAGCTCCCTCTGGCTCAGCCTCAGCCTGGCCGCTCCCACGGGAGGTGGGGAGCCCGTGGTGGGCCCACTGCCCCGTGTTCTTTCTCATCCACGTGGCAGGGGCCAGTGTGGTATCAGCACAACCCGTCGCCCCGAGAGCCGCTGCTCACCTGCCCCTCGTCTCCCTCCCGCGAGGCCCTGCTGGAGGCCCAGGCATTCTGGCATCTTCCTTCTCGTTTGCTCTCCTCCCCTCGTCACCACCTGCTCCCCGGGATCTGATCGATCACCAGTCTCCCTCCGCCTCAGCTCCCGCAGCCGCCGGTGAGAAATGTGGGCGCCTGGGGGCTACGGGCGCCGGCTGAGCGTTGCACCATCCCCTCGACTTGGCTGGGAGTCGGGATGTTTCTAAACCAGAAAGTGAAATTGAACAAAAGAGAAATAACTCTTCTCAGATTGGTCCCTCTGCTCTGCCACTTTTAACCCAGACCCAGCACCTCTCGCCAGGATGACTCCTCTGCAGTCCCTTCACCTCCTGGCCTTGCCCCGCGGAGCCCCGAGGCTCCGTCTGCTCCTACCAACCCCGTTCCCTCTCGGGGCTGGATGCAGATGGCGGCAAGGCCCCCCCCCCCCCCCGCCCCTGCCTCACAACAGTGCACATGGCTTTTCACGGAAGGAGTTCTAGGATGTGGGACACAGAGGGGCGCTCGGCCGGGCCTGCCTCAGCCAGGGCTGGGGGGCACCTGGCTCTTGTCCGAGCGCCGCTTCACTGCGAGCCAGCCAGGCGGGAGGGCAGGTCCGTGAGAACGAAATACACAGAAGGGCGCCAGCCCTGGGCCCGTGCCTTCCCTTCCAGAGAGATCTGAACACCAGGACCCCCTCGCTCGAGTCTCCAAACAGAACCGGGGGCCCAGGGAGGGCGTGTTGGACCGTTGTTCCACCCCGTTCCCGGGGGCAGTGGAATGAGCACCGGGCCCCCGCCCCCCCCCACCCCCCCCCCCGGGAAGGCTGACACACGTCTGGCTCGAGCAGATCACCGACCTGATCGCAACGGGCTCGCGTCTGACACACATGCCAACGCCGACGCCGCGGAGACCGAGAAGCTGTGCCGGAGAAAGGCGGGCGCGGGTGCCGCCGACGCAGGAGGATGTGTTTAGGGGGCATCTTTGGAGACGGGCTCCTGGGAACAGCAGCCTGAAGCTGGCAGAGGCGAGCTGCTCGGCCCCAAGAGATTTGTAGTAGGAAGAGGAAGTCAGGGTAGCGGCCGCAGAAAACACTTGTTCGCTATCAGGAGCAGCAAGAAGAGCCTTTCTCTCTTCATCCTTCCCATGGCCCTTGATGGACAGGGGCCCCTCCTCCACCTTCAAGCCCAACAATGGTGGGCAGCGTCTTCCCCTCAACCCCCTCGTCTGTCCCCTCCTCCGAGGGGAAGGACCCCCACCGTCACGTTGGGCCCCTGGGGAAGGTCAGTAGATAGCCCACCTTTTTCTTACGAACACACTTGAATCCCTTTTATTCTAAACACTAACACTGGTGACATGGTGCGCGAGACACATACTTCCGTCTGTGGCTTATCTCTGGCTTCGTTGATGATGTCTTTGGAAACACGGGATTTTCACATTCCAAAGCCAACTCCATCAACCTTTTATTTTACGCGTTTTGAAGCGAATGAAACCCTCCCGTATTCAAAGGTCTTCTACTTACGTACCGTACCTTCTATGTTTTTAAGAGCACGTTAAAGGCTTGCTGTGCGTTTAGATGCCTAATTCCCTGGGGTTTATGTTCCGTGTTCGGTGCAGGCCGGGTGTCTCTCTGGCCCTGTGTGCGAGTCTCTCGCCGGCAGGGTGCACGCAGAGGAGCCTCGGGAGCTTGGAGAAAACAACACGATTTCTGGGCCTCGATTTCCGGGCCTCCAATAGGGGGTGGGTCAGCAAACTGGTGAACTGGAACGTTATTTATAAAATCATTTATGGGACCTTATTTGGTGATAAAAACATCTGAGCGATCCAGCTACAAAAAGACCCAGAGGAACAGTACATGCCACTTAGAGGCTTCGCGCTGTACGATCCCAACTACGCGACTTTCTGGAAAAGGCAAAACCACGGAGACAGTGACAAGCTCAGCGGTTGGAGGGGCTGGGCAGGTGGAGGGCTGAGCAGGGAGCGCGGTGGGCGTGTGGGCGGTGAGGCTGCTACAGGGCACCGTGCGTCTGTCGAGGGCGTGGTGGGAACCTGGCGGGCGCGCGGAGAACACTCCAGCCCCGGGCAGGTGTGCAGCGACGGTGGATTTCATTAACATCTAATCCCAGTCCTTTCATACTTCCGCGTCTTCTTCCCCATGGCCGTGCGGGCATGGAATAGCCCCCTGCTGGCAGTTCCGGAACTTCTGCCATCCTCAACAAGGCTACAACGGACACCCTTGCACATGAATCTCCCAACACTTCTCAATGTATTTCTGTGCCTTATATTCTGTGCCATGTGGAGGTGAAATGTTAGGTCCCAGAGTCCAGAAATTAAACGCTTTTATGCTTCCAAACAGCCAGCCAAAAGGCCAGGTTAAGCTCAGGCAAGGCTGCAGGAGCTTCTGTCCCCGCAGACGGAGCCTTTCCGAGCAGCCAGGACAACGGCACCCCCTGCTGGCCGGAGCGCAGCCTGCTAGCACCAGCTTCCCAGGCCGTGGAGACGTATTTCCACATTTAGGAATCTCTTCTCAGAAAACAAAGTGAACAAAAGTCATTTACAAAATCACATTCTTCACAGTGCCGTTCGTGTGCGAGTAAAGCAGCATTACAATGCTGCTTATGAAAAACTTCTCATGACTTGGGGAATGGTATATACGCTATAATTTCTTTAAACCTTTTTAGTGCTGGCTGGTTTGGTCAGTGGTTAGAGCGTCGGCCCCATACCGAAAGGCTGCAGGTTCGATCCCGGGTTGGGATGGGGACTGGAGCAGCCACTGATATGTCTCTCTCACACTGACATCTCTCTCTTCCCCTCTCCCCCTCCCCACCTTCCACTCTCTAAAAAAGATCAATGGGGAAAAAAAATCCTCATGTGAGAATTTAAAAAAAACATACAAACTTTTATGAAAACAGGGAGAACACAAACCTATACACAACATATATGTCAACAACCAACAGATGAGTATATACATTAACATGTATAAACTCATGTCCACAAAAAAAAAACAGAAAAAAAGGAAGGCATCCCCAATGTAAACTCCACTGAGCAGGACTGTATCTTTACCTCCTTAAATGTCGCTCTATTTTTATATTTCAGCCACGTGTGTCAACTATTTCCTTTCCTACTCAAGAGAAAATACGAATTCTTTGATGACGGAGGAGCGAGCTGCGTGCAATGGTGTCCGAGGGAGTCGGAAGAGCAGGGGGTTCCACTGGAACGAAGGGTCTGTGGAGTCCCAGTCCAGAGGCCAGGACCCCGGCCCCCCGTCGCCCACCGCACAGCCGTCACCAGCTGCCAGCGTTCCTGTCTTTGGGAACTCAGCTCAGGTCACTTCCTACATAGACCTTCTCCGTCGCTCCCGCACCTGGATGGCTGCTCACTTCCTTGACCTTTTCCCTCTGGTGCCAGTTTAGCTGTGTTTGCGTTTTTTTTTTTTTGTTTTATCCTTTTGGAGTGTAAGGTTCTAGATGTTGCAGTAGAAACTGCATCTTACATGGCTTGCATCCCTTGTAGCATCTTAAACAAAATAAGCACTCATTCACACATTCACTCATTCATTCATTCAAGTGAAATTGGCCAACGGGCTGCTCTGTGCCTGGTGCTGCTGTAGGTGCTCGGGGTATAGAATGAAAGTCTCTGTTTTTATTGAGCTCTTTTGGTGTTAGAATTGCCGCTTCTTTGATTAACGTATTGATTTTTTTTTTAAAGTCTAAATTTGGCCTTTCTATTTCACTAGCCAGTGTTATGTGAACTATATATCTCTGCCTCGCCTCAGGACAAATTGTGTTAATAAAAAGCATGGGGTCCTGAGACGAGGAGATCTGAGATCTTAGTTTCCTTTAAACTAGGCTCCTCTGACCCCCAAATGCCTTTCAAAATGATGCTTTGTCTCTGGACTCCTATCTAATGTACGCACAGCCTTCTCCAGATTGCTGAACCCTTCTCGATGCTGGAACAAGAACCCCGGCAGCACTTCCTTCTGCGACGTTGCTGTCTGGGGTTCCAGGTGCTGCTGGGCACCCCCGTTCCCCCCGCTTTCTCTCCTGAAATCAAGCAGAGTCACACGCCCTCAACAATGTGGTCACATCACCGTCGCTGCCCTACCCCCCAATCTGTCAGCCGCCCCCGACCCAGCCTGCTCTCTCTGCAGGGGGGTCGCCAGGGCCCCGACCCGCTGAGGGGCTCAGCCTGCTTCTGCTTCTGCCGGGTCAGGCCCACCCCACCTCCTCCGGGCACCCTGCCTGCTCCTTAGAGCTGCTGGCCGGATGGGTGGCCACTGTCCAGCGTTTAGGCTTGGCCACCCCAGGTTCTGTCTGTGCTGATGTTGATGTTGTTACTAAATTCTTCTCACGTGTGCACACAGCTCACAAAGGGGTGCACCAAGAGTGTCCACCTCAGGTAATTGGGGAGGCTGAGCCACTGGGCCCTATAGGACACCTAGCACAGAAAGCTACACAGGTAGTTCACAGACACAGATAAACACAAAGACTATAATATATTTTGAACTACTAATTTTTTGAGAAAAAATGCAAGAATTATTCTCCTCAAAAATGAATTTCCATACTTCATGCCTTCTGTTATCACAACCATGTAATTTCTCCCAACTTAGTCTGAACTTTTAGCTCCTGGAGGCCTCAAGTTTTTAGGTGGCAAGTGAACTACGTAGCATTTCTCAGATTAGTAATACTTTCACATTTTTAAGGATATATTTCAAATAAAACACAAGACTTATTTCATTAATAGATTCAAAGACTTATTTTCACTAATAGATTCAAAAATCCTCTAGGTTTTTCATAGGAGGCAAACTCAGATGAATATTTCAGTATTCTGTTATTTCAAAATACCTAGATATTTAAGAATTTTTATTTTTTAATTCAGCAAACTTCAAAGTTTGAAGTTACCGAAGACTTTGGGAAACTATGTTTAGGCATATATGTCATTGCCGCTGAAAAAGGTGTTTTTTTTTAACCAAATACTCTTCATTTTAGTGATGTATTTTTGCCTTAACAACTTTGAGACTTTAAAGCCAATTATTCCCTAAAGCATTTCCTCGCCCAGTTTTGTAACGGGGGTCGCTCAGCAGCCTTCGGCGCATTAATGTGCGAGCGCGGTTCTGGCTCCTATGGAACCGGCAGGGGGGGGGGGCAGGTGGCAGCGTTCCTGCCCTGGGCGCGGGCGGGGGGGCGTGGGAGGTGAGTAGTGAAAAATTTTTCCACCAGTCTCGGCGTCGCCCTCACCCACGCTGTCGGCCCCGGAGGATATGCGACACATGCTGAGACAAGTGAGACACGTGCCGAGACACGTGCTGAGCCGCCGTGGCCTCTGCAGCTGAACGAGTGGGACTCGGGGGACCCCGCCGGGCCGATCTCTTCTCTCTCCGTCTCCGTCTCCGTCTCTCTCCTCCTGGAATTTATGGGGGAGACACCGGTTGAACACACTCGGGTTTTAAATAAAATAAAAAATGAATGAAAGTTTGCTGTGACCCCACCCGCGGATGTGGAGAGAGGGGAGGGGGAGGGGGGGATGTGGGGGGGTTGGATCGAGGAGGGTGTGGGATGTGGGGGGAAGGAAGGAGAGGGGTCGGGGGATGTAGGGGTGGGGATAGTGGGGTGCGGTGGGGGGGTGGCCTCCGTGTGTGTTTTTAAAGGCCGCCTTTTAAAAAACTGTGTTTTTATTGCGTCTTAGAGAGAGGAAGGGGCAGATAGAGAGAGGGGACACAGGTGAGAGACATGGACCCACAGCTGCCCCTGCCCGCAGCCCAGCTGGTGCGCTGATGGGTGGTGGTGGGGGACCTCTGTGTGCCTGGCCTCCGGGAGGCTGCAGAGCCCCTGTGCCTGTGTCACTGTGGCCAGCCCGCCATGCAGACAGTTTGCGGGAAGAAGCCCGGGCGCCTGCAGGCGCTCACGAGCCCGTGTGTTCTATCCGGGACGCCAGCAGAAGCTGCACAGGTAGGAGAGGGCGGGACCCCGAAGAGCCGGGCGGGGGACCCGGGGGACACGCATGGCGGCCGCTGGGAGCTGGAACCCTCTCGGGTCCGGGTGCCGTGGGGGCACAGGAGGACGCCTGGGCTTCTGCCCCTCGAGGGACGGCGGCCCCGGGGATCCTGTGTGAGCCGCTGAGCCGCCGCTCGGTGGGCAGCCAGTGGGCAGTGCGGGGCCCGAGGAGGGGCGGGTGCCGAGGGCCAGCAGGAGCCCCGGTGAGTCGGCACCCAGGGCCCTCTGAGCTGAGGCTGGACACAGGCCGGGACCTGGAGGACAGCCCAGAGCTTGTCACAGTCCGCCCGCCCGCCCACGGCTCAGAGTCAGGGCGGCTTCTGCGTGTCCAGGGGCCACGCAACCCAAGTCCCGCAGACGCGGCTCACACCGGCCTTCTCCCTGCGGCCCCCACGGCCCCTCCCTGTCCCTCGGTGCGTCCTGGCCTCTGCTTGTGAGGACAGTCCCATTGGATGAGGGCCCGGCAGTGACTTCATTGAACTTTAATCTTCCCGTTAAAGGCCCATCTCCAAACTCGGCCCCACTCAGGTCCTGGGGTCAGGGCTCCGACACATGACGCTGGGGGTGGGACCCATCTCACCATAAGGGGGGGAAGGGGAGAGGTCCAGCTCCCCTGGCACTGACCCGGGTCCCGGTCCCTCGAGCGCGTGCCCTGGGTGCCCGCCCCTGACCGCCTCCCCCTCGGCCAGCGCCCCTGAGGGTGGACGCGCGTCCCTCTGGCCGGCCTGGCTGAGCCGCCCTGTCCTTGCAGGCACCTGTCGGCCATGCTCAGCGCCTCGGCGAGGGCGCGGCGGGCGGCGGCCCCGGGCCTCCTGCAGAGCCCGCGCGCCTGGGGCCTGCTCTGCGTGCTCCTGGCCTGCCAGCTGCTCATGAACCACGTCCTCACGTAAGAGCCCCGCGGGACGCGGCGTCACCTGCAGACCCGCCACCGCCTCCCGCCACCCGCCCGGCACCCAGCACTTTACACCAGCCCCGGGGAGGCGGCCGCGGTGGACAGAGGGGTCCCGGCAGCAGGAGGACAGCAGGAGGGACCTGGCGGCCACCGGTGCCTCCGGGGGAGGGGCTGGCCTCTGGGCAGGGCCCTGCCCGGCGCCGGCCTGGATGCTCCGGCCACATGCCACTGCCTGGTGCCCGCTCCGGTCACCGCCCTCTCACTCCGGCACAGCGTCCACTTGCCGGGGGCTGGCGTGGGGGGGGGGTAGGAGGGCCTGCCAGGGTCAGACAGTCCCTCCCCAGCGGGGCTGCAGAAGGAGGAGCCAGCCGGGACCCCAGGGCCTTCTCGGACTGAGCACAGGCTGTCGCTCCTGAGACCCTGCCCCTGTCGCCTGAGCACTTCGGCCGGGACCCTGGGGCTCCTGACTCGGCTCGTGGGGTTCACGCTGCCCGTGTGCTGTTGGACACATGCTCTGTGAGAAGTGCAGGGGCAGCGGTCTGCAGGCGGCGGGGGACACGTGACCGCGGTGCGTTCAGCTGCCACACGGGACCCGGGGACACGGGGACACGGGGACACGGGGCTATGGGCTCGGCTGATGCGGGCTCTCCCACTCGGAGCTTTTGTTGTATCCTCACACATTTTCATGATTTTAGCGAGAGGGGAAGGGGGAAACAGAAGAAACATGAATTGAGAAGCCCATGGACTGG